TGGTTCACTGAAGGTTAGTAATATATTCTTTACACTCTTATTTACATTTATTTTTTACATTAAATAAATTATTTGCCTTATTATACGAAAAGGGAATATATAATAGAAAGATAAGAAGATGTAAGATTTAGTTTAGAATGAAAAAGAGGATACTATCACATTGGGTTCGACTTCGACCTGTAAGGATAGATGTCTCAAGTAATAAATAAATAAAAGGAATTGAAAAAAAAATCTTACTTCTCCTTGTATTTCCTATTTTCCTTTATTTATATCGTGGTATTTCCTCCATCGATCCTCCATCATGTCCGACACAGACGCGTTCGCGACTTTAAGGAAACCACAGCTATTGGTGTACGCATCAACCAACAGCTGTTCGAAGAAATTCGGGACGAAGTCGTTAAGGCACTCCCGCACTCCGAAAAGCGTAGCGTTCATGTCTTGCGCGTGTTGACGTGTTTTTATCTCAACTATAGTGATCAGGTTTGCTTCCATTGTTTCATTGAAGCTGTTGATAGTAATTAAAGCTTATAACTTACGTGACGTGGTAGAGCAATGCTGCAGCTATATTATGGTTATAGTATGAATAGGTCGACGCGACTGGGGAAGGACCACGCTCTCACAGAATACCAGCGTAAAATAGCAGTTTAATGCTGCTGTGTTTCGTATGGTGAGTGTAGAGAACCAAAGACCAATTTTTGCTGGAACCGTGACATAGTTAGTCGTGATAACTAATGCATTTTGATTCTTCATCGAGGATAGATGTCTATGGGCCCACATCATCCATTACCATTAGGTGGACTGTGCCCGTTTGTCACCCTTATTCTATAAAATAAAGCACTTCACAAAGTCCAAGTAGAATATTCTGAACCATCATCATGTCTTAGCAGGTCGTGACACCATCTATTTTAGATCCGGAGAAGAAGGAACCTTTCTTCTTCTTCTCTTGTCTGTTCATCGAGCTGTGGCTGTCCTGTGCCACTTCAGTTTACTGATCCGTTGGGCTATATCGGTTATTCTGTTTAATATCAGTCGAGGACCACGTTTTAGTTCCGTATATCATCACTAGCAACAGACACTAGTTGTACACTCTTTTTTAAGGTTTTGAGGTACATGACAAGATGTGTCGTTTTCATTTTCATTTGTCATCTAAGGTGCCTGCGGGTAATAAGGCCTAAGTAACAAAAATCGTATAATTTGTAATAAGCGCACTCGCACACTCGGACACAATAACATACTCCTATTGCACGATAATGTCTCTACAAGTTTGCAGGGACGCGTCATGCCACCAGAGTTGCATTATCTTTCATAAGTTACGACCGCACTGCACCAATAATAAAAGTCAGTCCAAATAAATCGTAGGTATGTTTTGTAAAATTACACTTATAATCTTTATATTTATGAATAAATGCTTTGTTGATCTTGGAGATTTGAGTAACGTATCGTGGTAATTTTCTTTTAAATTTCGCTTTTCTTAAATACTTAGTCGGCGGTTATTAAGGCTTACTAAATTTCACCATAGCTCTTATTATACTCCTTTTTCTTGTGTATTTTTTTTTATTTTATTATAAGTTTTATATCGCTTTTAAAATGTTATAAATGCAAATACAATCGTAAGCCTTTATTATCACACTAATGTCGTAGTCAGAAAAAGGCCTGGTTTCAGCTGTCGAAACAGTGAAAAGACAAAGTGTGTTGAAGAATTAAGGCTTTGACATTAGAAGCTATTAAATTATATGTAAATTGTTGGTCCTGCGCCTCTCTCAGACCGTGACGGATTGCGATCTGACGATTGTGAGGGAATAGAATAGAATAGAATAGAATAGAATGATTTTTATTCAATATGGATTATTACATAATACTTATTGAAAGTCATTATTTTATTTACCACTGGTTCGGAAAATACCTCTGTCCTGGGAAGAACCAGCAAGAAACCCAGCGGGACTTTTTTTTTTAAACATATATATAGAATAGAGAGTTCCAAATGTTCGAAGTGTATCTACTAAGCGCGCCGGGAGCGCGCGTCAACCGTTCCAGTTCCAGTGTTCGACCATTCAATATGGATGTCGGTCGTGTACGAGCAGCTGCCGCTTTCAGAGTTCTCTCCATGCATCTCCTCTAAGAGCTTTATTATGATAAAAACGACTTCCACAGCAGTTCTTTTCAACCATATAATTTTATCAATTTATGGCTAATTTGGTTATGCATAGCTCGGGACGCAACAAACACACGGTTAATGTAAACCCGTCCCAACTGGCGGGCGCGTCAAAATTTAACTACTTTCATACGCGGTAAAAAACCGGCACCAGATTGAACGGCCCGCTCTAAGTATGAGCGTTCCAACAAACATTTTGGCGCGCGTTCCAAGGCGGTATCCATTTCGCGCGGCTGGAACGCGCGCCAATGTTCGACCTTTTGGAGTGCATAATCGATACGCGGCTTTAGGCAAACATACTCGTAAACAACTTCGAGCGAAGAATTTTATTGATACAACTGTAATTTTTATTTTGTTTATGTTATATTTTAATTTTATTAGCCAGTGCTTGACTACTATTCCACCACTTCAACAATTATATTAATTAAAATATTAACGGCTTAATACTCAAACGGCACTCAATTTTAAGATATCGTTAAGTCTCATGGTGTCACAGTCACTTCGCTTTAAAGTGATAGAGACAGCTTGAGACTTAGCTGCATCTTAACGTTTGAGTATTTGGGCATAAGCTGCTACTTTACGCTTTATTATGTGAAAGCGTGGTCCTTTCCCGATCGAGCTGATCCATTTGTACTGCAACCATAATACAGTTGCGGCATGGCTCTACCACGTTGATTTCAAACTCCAAACTTACCATCAGGTGAGCCGTTTGCTTGTTTGCCTCTCCATAAAAATACTCAGTAAACGAATGAATATAAATTAGTATTCTTGACTCACAGCACAGCCTGGTGCAATAAGCAGTGAGCTGCGGCGACTTCATCAGGCAACTCACTGTAGCATTTGTTCACAACCTCGAAGTTCCTCGAGTCGTGGAAGTTTTTGATTACGCTGTGAAATTGTTTTCTGATGAGCTCAAGTTTCTCCACTGGTTCTTTGAGACAGTGCTCTGTTATGTTTACGATCTGTGCAGATGAAGAGGAGATTACTTTTTTTACACAATACAATACTGAAATTCATAAGCATACAAAGGTGAATCATATCAATAAATAAAATTGCTACGAACTTTAACACAACACAAAATTATTTTCTTTTCTTTATATTATTTTTTTATTGTAAAAACGTTACCCGCACACTAGGATTTTCTACTGAATCGTACGTGTTCCTTGCGGGATTCGAACCCGCGGCCCCTGCCGCCGCCACTCAATGTTAAGCTATTTCGCCACAGAGACGTCAACCATCTGAACCGTGTATTGGCGGTGTAAGAATATCCACTATCCCAACTCATCCCGTGAATGTTGTGAGAGGCGTGACAAAGGCCAAAAACCAGGAGATGGGCAGCAGTTTCTTCCTAATAATATTAAAAAAAATACAATACTGCGATTGCCAACCCGTGTGCCAAGCGTGACCGCTATGGCAGATATGCCCTATATGAGGCAATCTATAGGGGAGACCTATGTTCGCCAGTAGAATTTTAATATGTAACAGTAACTGTGCGGGGAACAAAGTAAGCGGCTCAATTTATATTGCGGCGTAACGGAAGTGAATGCGCGCGAATTTGCGAGAATGCTCGAGCATTCCCGCGACTACGCCTCGAGTTATTTAGTATCTTTTATTTAACAAGAATGGTTGATTGGATATTGTTTTTATATTGATTATTTGTGAGGCAGAAGAAGGACAAAATGATGAAACAAGGAAGAATATCAGAAAAAGGAAAAGAAATATTTTGGTTCATGATTTAAGGAAGAAACTAAAACGTCATCCTTCGCGCCACTTCCCACGAATTCCACAGACTGCACCGACAGGCAATTCTCAAGAATGCGCGAGAATTCCCCGGAACTTCTTTTTTGCTCATATCTAGTTTGCACGTTATACGCTTAACATCCGTCAATCGACGGATTCAACTCGGCTGGGCAGCGTACAGGAAATTACGGCACATCTTCTCGTCAGGTATACCTCAAAACTTGAAAACTAGACTGTACAACCATTGCGTGTTGCCAGTGATGACCTATGGAACTGAGACGTGGTACTTCACTGTTGGCCGTATGAGGAAACTCAAAGTCGCTCAGCGTGATAAACTTAGAACCAGAGTGACCGACATAGCCCAACGGATTAGTAAGCTGAAGTGGAAATGGGCCGGCCATATAGCTCGAAGAACCGACAACCGATGGGGAAAAAGATTCTCGAGTGGCGGCTTCGTACCGGCGGATGAAGTGTAGGGCGTCCCCCACTAGATGGATGATGACCTGGTAAGACATGCAGGAAGTCGGTGGATGCAGATGGCTCAGGAAAGTGCTTTGTGGCATTCCTTGGGGGAGGCCTATGTTCAGCAGTGGACTTGTGAATGTGATGATGAGAGTTAACATAAAACTCATTATACTATGTACAACTTCGTTCGTGTGCAAAAATTCGCTTCTATTCCGTTCCGCGGCAATGTAAATTGAGCCTTAAGGTACGTTGGGGTAATACCGGACGGATTTTCGAATAGTTGGAAGAGTCTGCCAAAAACTTTAATTTCTCGACATTCGTATACGTCAGATTTATGGAACATGGAGCAAACCGTTAATCGTTAAACGTAGTTTAGCTCTGAGAATCTTTTGCTTGTGTAAACTCAACGGTTTCTGCTTTAAAGGTGTGCGAAAACTAGACATACTTTTTTATATGCATAATGAAAAATTGGCCATTAAGGGGTAAGACCGGACTTAAATTTAAAACCACTTCTACAGCTTAGAGAAAAAAGTTTATAAAAGAGATTTGTCCTATCTTTAACGCTCAAAAACATATTTCAATATGATCTATAAATTACTAGAAACATAAATGTTCCAAACGATTTTCTCTTTTTTTGTTTCTTGCCATCCGATCTTATCCCTGATATAAAGAAATTGTAATTTTATGTTTCTCAAACTTTGTTATGACATAAGATGGAATTACTCAATATAGGAGAAAGATCGGATGCATTTGATTTTATATGGGAAAAAAAATAACAGTAAGAACTGGCGAAATGCCCTGGGATAATGCAGGAGTTAAGGAACATATAAATATTTTAACAAAGCGGCATTTATTATTATAAATTATTTTTTAAATAATTATTATAAATTACATTTTGATTTGTAATAGAGGATAGATATAGATGTCTATGGGCCGCACCAATCACTTAACATCAGGTGGACTGTTTGCTCCTTTGTCACCCTTATCCTATAAAAAAAATGTATTTTAATATGTACTTAAAAGTAATAAAACCATCGTATTGTTTTATTACTTTTAAATATACAGACTTTCTAACGAGACTGAGTCCCATAGTCACTTGAGTAATCAACGAAAAAATATACACGACCAATGAAAGTTTAACAACCACTGCCATATTTGTAACAGGCAAAGATCGGATAATATTCATCCGATCTTCACTCACGAGGGGAAACATCGGATCTCGGCCTACAGCGATCTTACCCCTGCATGGACCAGCTTTATCTAGCTATAACTTCATAAAAATTAGTATCCACACAAAATAATAACAAAAGAAGCCATATTCTCGCTAAAAATCGTAAATAAAAGTGATAGGGAAAGATCGGATGGACAAAAATAATACAGAAATTACATTGTTTTATAAAATGCCACGCAGCACAGGTCCCACTTGCCGGAGTGACTGGCGCGAACTGAGGGTCGGGGCAGGATGAAATGGCGTCGTGTAGCATATTGTTAGCTTTTCAAAATATAGCATAATTCGCCGGGAATTTGAATCCTACGGTCTTGCCCCATCACCGATCTTACCCCAACGTACCTTATGTTTTCCTACGTACACACCGTAGTCCAGGGTCTCGGCATATCGTTTGCTATGCCAGCTTGGCCCGCACCCCGCACGCAAATTGCTTTTTATTGGTATTTATTGATTAAATACAGATTATTTAAGGAATTTCTTGTTGAAATTAACTTTTGTTTTCATGTCCGGTGTTGTCCACCATGAGTTAATGTACCTTTATATACCTACATATAATTGTTCTATACGTGTGTTTAGACTGAGCTAAACGGCTGGACAGATTTTTATGATTTTTTGGTGTATTATTTATAGCATATGAGTGACAAACGAGCATGCAGGCCACCTGATGGTAAGTGGATGCTGTAGCCCATAGACATCTACATTTATCCTAGATAAATGATTAAAATGCAGATGCGTTGTCATCTCTGCAGACTGAGATGGAATAACTCGTATCCAGTAAAAAGGGTATCCGGTTCTCTAAACTCACCATACGAAACACAGCATCATTAAGCAGCTATATTTCACAATGGTACTGTGAGAGCGTGGTTCTTCTTCGTTCGAAGCGACCCATTGGTGCTACAACTATAATACTCGTATAGCTGCAGCGTGACTTTACCAAGTAAAAACGTGTTTGAGTGGGTTTCTGAATGGTTTAGATTCACAATTGGACCCGATAGGTGGCGCTGCTGTTCATATCCAGAAATCACACGTAGGTACGTAGCTGGGTCGGAAGCCAACACCAATAGTACTAACCTCTTCCATAGAAATAACGTAATGCGTGAAATCATGAAAATATTTGATTTTATAAAATTTGACGATAGCACTTCTAAGTTCTTTTGCCATCTCTTCGTTTACGATGGTTACTAGATCTAAGAAAGTGTCCATGACATGCAGCGATCTATTCTTAAGCATTTCGTAGCTATCACGGCCTTGGATGAACAGGTTCTTGGTGACAGAATACGCTTCGGTGACGAGGTGATACTTTTCGTCGACGTTATGAAACACGTCTTTTGCGCACTAAAATTGTAATGATATTTATTAATAGATCAATAGACAAGATATTTGTTTTTTGTATAATGGCTCCAGTACACGTTGGTCGAGCGCGCTTGGCGAGCGCACTCGGCAGATTTACGTGGTGCCATGGGTGCCGTTCACACATTGGCGTATTTCATTCTGCGTTGAGTTAGCTAGATGATGATGGACGTTAGGGTGTTTTTATGTTGCTCAGTTTGAAAGAAAGAAAGAAAAAAATAAGTTTATTTGGCACATATATTATAACAAACAAAAAAAAATAATCAAATAGAACAATTTTTTTAACTTAACAAAAATATATAAAAAAGAAATAATAAAATAAACGTAATATGCACCAAAATGGTCTCCACTCAGCTTTAAGTCACGAATTGAAGATATAATTACATCAATTCGTAACGCTGATTTTCAGTGGAGCCAGGAGTATGAGGCAGATGACAATAAACAGCAAGAAAAAATATTAACAAAAATATAAAATAAAGGTAAAATAAAATGAACAAATCTGTTGTTTAGTACACGCTGGCCGAACGCACTCAGCGAGCGCGTTCGGCCAACGTGTACTACTACCTTAAGATGGGGCAAACAAGCACGCGGCTCACCTGATGGTGACTACCGCCGCCCATAAACAACTGCAACATCAGGGGAAATGCAGATGCGTTGCCGGTCATTTAAAAAAGAGTAGGCTCGTTAATTGAAGGTCCCTATAATCATCCTATAACAATGTCGTGGCGACATAAGAACATCCATCATTCATGGGTGTCGTTAAAGGCGACCATGTGAAATGTCAAGAACTCTTATGGCTTGCGATAGATGGCGGTGTAGCCATCTCGTTTACTCCAGACAAAATGCAAAAACCGGCGACGTGCAGTTAGCATCAATGTTGCGAGACATTGCGGCGTAACGGGGGTATTGCATTCGTCGATTTATCTGCCAAGTGTGACAATCAAAGCAAATCCTTCCAACAAAGGAAAAGGCCCATGTCCGATACCATTACAGTCTATTAACGTCCAATGCTGAACCAAAGCTTCCCCTAATAGATTGCTTAATAGGGGGATATGTGCCATAGTTGCCACGTTTAGCGTGCAGGATGGCAACCGCAGTTTTTTTATTTTTAGTCGTTATTAGGAAGTCGCATATCTCCTGATTTGTTTCCCTCTGTCGCCTCTTACGACACCCACGCCATGATATGGAGTAGTGGATATTCTTACACCGCCACTACTCGGTGTAAGTCCATGTCCAGCAGTGGCCTATTAAGGGCTGAAGTAGGAGACGAATTAATAGAGAATACAGCATTCTTAGAGTGGTAACCTGACGAGTGACTGACGGCTTTGTGAATACCATCGTAAAATAGCAGCTGAACGCCGCTGTGTTTCGTATGGTGAGTGTAGTGAACCGGAGACCCTGTTTACTGGAAACAAGCATTCCATCTTAGTTCTCACGGGCGACAACGCATCTGCATTTTGATGCGTAGTCAAGGATAGATGTAGATGTCTATGGGCCGCAGCTTACCATCAGGTGGACTGTGTGCTCGTTTGTCACCCTTATCCTATACAAAATATTACTGGAGCAAAGCTGTAGCTATATTATGGTATATACACGTATATACAGTATACACGCACCTCGCACGGAAATACTCGAGATAATCTCGGAGAGCGGAAAAATCGAACCGGGGTTTCTCCATCCTCTGAAATTACGGCGAGCACTTAACCCCTGAGCTATAATGGCTCTTGAGTATTTAAAATGTTCGTTTTTTTATTTGCCCTTTCTGGAGCTGTTTATGGTAGTTACACAAAAAAAATGTATTAAAAAACTATACTATAACTTGCCTCTTTTAAGTATAATAGCGATAATAAAACAAACAACACATCACGAGCTCTTGTTAACTGATTCATCACCAATGCATTTTATTTTTAACATGTCCTTTTTACTTATATAAAATTAAAAAACAACGGTTTTTTACTCTTATAAAATTTATAAAAAAAATTACTTTGTACACGCAAAATAAAAATGGCTTCAACGCACTTTCCGCAATTTGTGAATTAAACGTTATTACGTAGTTGCCTACATAATATATCGTATAACCTATGCCTATCTATATAAAGAAACAAACTTAATGTTTGTCCGTGATTATTAACCGACCTCAAAAAGAAGGAGGTTCTCAATTCGAGTGTATTTTTTTGTATGTATGTTATGCGATATCTTCGCAGATGGAGAACCAATTTTAGTGATTAATTTTTTATTTACCAGGTTATAACTTCAAGGGTAGTCCCATATAAATTTGGACAAAAAATTCCACCCCTAAGGGTAGCAAATAAATAACTTCTTTTTTAGCCATTTGAAGTCGGTTTCTACTTTTTGTTAAAAGTTATAATTATTGGAGTTAAAACACTTGTTATGCTGCGTTGGTGATGGCAGAAAGGAATCTATCGTCGCGTCCCATAGGTATTGCAAGAGTTTAACAAGGGAACGTTGTCACCCCTGAGGACTGAAATGTAATGTCTCGTTTCCAGTAAAAAGGGCCTCCAGTTCTCTGCACTCACCATAAGAAACCCATTAGCATTGAGCTACTATTTTGAGCTGGTATTATGTGAGAGTGTGGTCCTTCCCCGGTCGAGCCGACCCATTCGTGCTATAACTATAGCTGCAGCGTGGCTCTACCACGTAAAGCCACCACTGAGTACATAAATTCCAAAATTCCGGCGAACAAGTCGCGGTGCATAGTCGGTATGTGGCGTATCAGAGCGTGTGGTTAAAAATACAATCATAATTTTATTGTTTTTATAATTTAACGGTGGAATGCTACGTTTTAATTACATTGTACTACGCATGCAACAATAATATACACATCAATGTAAGAACTAAGTACAAAGTCATATCATAGGCATACTATGACTCAGACGAACAAAGAATCTAAAATTATATGCAACCAACAAAACTGTTTCAGATGCATATGTGTGCGTCCAGCAATGAATGTCTACGGGCTAATAAAGGAAGAAAGAATAGAATAGAATAATTTTTATTCAATATATATTACCTACTCGTTCATGTAATTCTTAGTGAACGTCATTTTTACTACCATTGGTTCGAAAAAAAAATCTCTGTCCTGGGAAAAACCAGCAAGAAGCCCAGCGGGACTTTTTTTAAAAGCATAATTTACAATATAATATTTGATACAATTGTGTATGAAAATTACATTCCCAGGGGTTATTAGCAATCGTTTACTTTTTAGTAGTATAATAACCCTTACTAAACAACAACAATAGTTGTACAACTATACCATCGACCGGAGGGACCATGCTCTCATAGAATGCCACCTTAACACTGCTGTGTTTCATATGGCGAGTGTAGAGAACCGAATACCCTTTTTACTGGAAAAGAGGTATTCCATCTTAGTCCTCACGGGTGACAACGCATCTGCATTTTGATTCGCAAACGAAGATAAATGTAGATGTCTATGGGCCACAGCAACCACTTACCATCAGGGTGGACTGTGTGCTCATTTGTCACCCCTATTCTACAAAACCCTCGGTTTGTAATTTTTTCGGGCGTTCATCACCGTCACAGTCTATTAAAGTCCACTGCTGAGCATAGGTCTTCCCCGTAGATTGCCTCATAGTGGGGATAAGTCATTGCCATATCTGCCACGCTTGGCAAGCGGGTTGGCAACCGCAGTTTTTTATTAGCATCAATACACACAAAATATACATTTAGAAATAATGAGACATAAAAACCTACAAAGTAGTTTGAAAAACATAAATAAAAATAAAATAAATCTCAGCAAGAGTGAGTGATGTGATGCCAAAAGGATTCCGTCTCAGCATATGCTACCACAGATACTGCAGCAGCGCTGATTTTCAGCGGAGCCCTGATAAATATTGATTCCGTATTGCGCCCGCGACTATATTGGTAACATCATAAACGAAAAATAATGAATCTACCATTCACTCAAAGTAAATATTTCCAAGTATATACATAAAAGTATTGTATATTATATTAAAATTAAACATACACATATATCTACACATATATGCATATATATAAACCCACACATATATATATACATACACATATACACACATATGTTTGTGTTTATATGTGTACATTAAATATAACTTAAAAAATACACATACGTAAATGTACCTATACACACACACACAAAACATATGTATAATATATTTTATTATATATTATACACACATTAACTATCCCTATAATATGTTTGCTAAATCGTATCTATGAAATAACCTGCCACTACACGTGAAATAATGACTTTTGAGATGCTAAAAGGTGTATTTTTAATTTAGCTTTAAAAACGTTTACAGATTTAGTTTCTGGTATATGTGGTGGTATATTGTTCCAACATTTAGTGGCCATGTATCTAAAACTGCCACGAAACGCGGCCGTTCGATGATATAGGGTTGACAGTATCGGGGTAACCGTTCTGATGCTTTGACCATCTTCTGCTCTTCTCCATTTTAATTTTTGAAAGAGGTATTTCGGTCGTTCTGATTTTATGCATCCGAAAAGAAGCGTAGCTAAATGTAAATCTCGCCTCAGTGACATCTTTAATATGTCCGATTTATTAAGATACCGATGTACATGATGATATCGAGGTATATTAAAGATGTACCTTGCACATGCGTTTTGGACCCTTTGTATTGACCTATTTGTTTTAGTAAATAACCTAGGCCCATACACAGTATCTGCGTACCCAAGCCTTCAAAGTACGAGTGACTCTAATAGGCGCAGGCGAACACTCTCACTGAGGTAATCACGCACTTGGTACAGTACTTTGAGTCTATAAAACCAGTTGCATGTTATTTCAAGTACATGATTCTCAAAGCGAAGACCCTGGTCCATCAGCAATCCTAGATTACGAAGTCTTACTTACACGTTCCACCGGTTCTCCACGAATGCTTATAACAAATTTCGTTTTCATTATAGATTCGACCTGCCCCTTTGACCCTAACAGCATGAATTTGGATTTGCATGGGTTAAGCACAAGTGTATTTGCTTCTGACCATAATGAGATGTGATGTAAATCCTCATTTATCTTTGCTACTGCACTTTCTACGTCGCTAGGGAAAAATGGCAGAAGATAAATCTGTATATCGTCAGTGTATAGGAGTGCCTTATATGGCGACATACGTCCGCTGTATATAAAATAAAAATAAGTGGACCAAGTATAGAACCTTGAGGCACTCCCCTAGTTACACGGCATGGAGTACCATTGTCCTTGTTAATTGCTACTATCTGTGTCCGATTAGATAAATAGCTGTCGAACCATCGAACAGCGGGCAAATCAAAACCATAATATCTCATTTTGGATAGCAATAAGGGAATGTTTATGGCATCAAATGCCCGGGAAAAATCAAGTAAGACCAGTAACGTGCCTTGTCCAATGTCTTGTGATGTCAAGATATTGTCAACTACGTCCATTAAGGCTGTTGATGTACTACGTGCCTTTCTGAAGCCGGATTGAGACAGGTAATATACTATTACACTCTAAAAAAGCTGAAAGTTGCTTACACACGATTTTCTCCAGTACTTTAGATAAACAAGATAGAATACTAATTGGCCATAAGTCCTTTATATCTGACACATTATTTTTTTTGCACAGAGGCTTAACTATGGCCGTTTTCCAGATGTCGAGAAAAGTAGATATACGAAGTGACGCGTTTATAACAGCTGTAATAACTTTGAGTGTACGTGGAAGTGTCAGTAGCAACATTTCAAGAGAAATTCCATCACTGCCCAGCGCATTTTAGTGAATGTATGACTTTTGAAACTGGTTTCATCAGTGGGCTTTAACTCAAAAGATGCGTTTCCAAAACGATGAAATTCGTCTGTCCGTATCCATCTGTCCATGGCCCATCTTTACACACGAGTACAAAGTAAATAAAACAAAAAGTGATATAAATAACATATATTTGTTTTCCAATATAATGTGCTTAACAACAAAATCGATATATGACAAATTACATAATATATAATTTAGCTTAATACATTACAAAACACTAAGGTTCTATAATACAGACAAATTAGTTTCTATATCAAAACGGGATGAACCAGTTAACATGGGTGGTGGGACTCTTTCAGCTTAAGAATCTGTCTAAAGGCAACTTCAACAAGTGGTAAAATTCAAAATTTTGTACAACCGACTTTAATATAAATAAAATTAGAACATCATCAATGTACTCGAAGTTAATTAAATACGCATTATTAAGGATAACTCAAAAACTACTGGTCAGAGCTTGATCAAATTTGTATGGGACCACGTGAGAAGCATCAGCTTTCGTAGAAAATCTGTTCACCTAGAAAAAAGTTCTGAAGTAACACACATAAAAAATAGTCGAATTGAGAACCTCCTCCTTTTTTGAAGTCGATTGAAAAAGGAGAAGGTTGAGCACCTCACAGATCGGATAGGGATTTTTTGATTTGTTGTTGTTATGTATTTATCATTAGCCGTTTCCCGCGACTTCAACCGTGTGGAATTTATTACGATTGGATTTCATGGGATTTTTTTTGCACGGAACCTTAATTCTATTTCTAAAGTAAAAGTAACCTAAGTTACTCCCTTATAAGAACAGCTGAAGTCATCCGCCAGTGAAGTTCCGTCAAAATCGGTCCATCCGTTTCGGAGATTAGCCGGAGCAAACTGACAAACATTTTCAAAATTGTTTTTACGTTATAAGTACTGTGTATACTTTCATTTGCATTTAGTAAAAAGCTGTTATTTTGATATTACAAAGAGACACTTCAATTTTATTTATTTGTATAGACTATAGATAATCGCATTGTTGACGTCACTACCCGTCAATAGTATGAATAGTTTACATCTGTATTAAACGGGATGGTAGTACTGCCATCTAGCGGATTTTATTAGTTCTTTGACAGACGACTCACTGGCCCACGCCGCATAAGAGAAAGCCGACCTTTTAGGCTCCCTTTTTGCGTCCAAATCGACTCTTGATGACGGGGAGAACACACCGCCGACCATACCGCGATGTGAGTGCTCCATGTCGGATGTGCGGTTCTTATAGCCATTGGTTCGCAAAGCACTCCTCTCCCTGGACATCCACAAGTCGAGTGGGCCTGACGGAATCCCCCCAATTGTGCTGAGGACGTGTGCTCCATAGTTGGCACCGGTTCTAACGCGTCTTTTCCGGTACTCCCTAGGCGTAGTCCCGAAATCATGGAAGACAGCTTTTGTCCACCAGATCCCTAAAAAAGGCGACCGCTCAGACCCGTCCAACTACAGGCCAATCGCCATCACCCCCTTGTTCTCCAAAATAATGGAATCCGTTATAAACTGCCACCTCATGCGGTACCTTGAGGATCACCAGCTTTCTTGCAGATCGGAGCATCAAGGTCGTTGTAGACGGTGCATGCTCCAACTACAAGCCTATAAACACTGGTGTTCCACAAGGCTGCGTGCTATCACCAACGCTGTTTCTTCTGCATATCAATGATATGTTGCAAACCCGTAGCATTTATTGCTATACGGATGACAGCACTGGTGATGCTCTATACACCGGCCGTGCCAATATTTCTCGGGAAAACGTCGCTGAGTACCGGAACAAACTTGTGTCTGAAGTCGAGTCTTTGCTGGACAAAGTCTCCGATTGGCGGCGACTAAATCTAGTCCAGTTTAATCCTCAGAAGACAAGATTGCGCGTTTACCGCTAAAAAGAACCCCTTTGTCGTATCTCCTCAGTTTCAAGGCACTCCCTTAGTTGCCTCAGCCAGTATTGGAATCCTCGGCGTCGACATATCAAGTGACGTGCAGTTTCGTGGTCACTTGGAAGAGAAGGCCAAATTGAACTCTAAAAAGCTTGGCGTGCTCAGCAGAGCGGGACAGTATTTCATGCCGGCACACCGCCTGCAACTTTAAAAGGCGCAGGTTCAGCCTCACATGGAATACTGTTCCCATCTCTGGGCAGGGGCTCCCCAGTGCCAGCTCCTTCCACTTGACCGCATCCAGCACAGAGCGGCTCGAATCGTTGACGACCGAGTCCTTTCCGATCGGCTCGACTCATTGGCGCTGCGAAGAGATGTTGCATCTCTCATTTTCTCTCGTATTTACCACGGGGAGTGCTCTGAGGAATTGTTCAGATTAATACCAGCCGCCAAATTTCACGAATGCACATCGCGGCAGAACTCCCGATACCATCCACACCATCTGGATGATTGGCGGTCCACCACTGTGCGATTTAGAAGATGTTTTCTTTTCTCGCACAACTTCTTTGTGAATAATTTACCACCAGCGATTTTTCCGGACCGATTCGACTTAGGGACCTTCAAGAAAAGAGCCTACTCCTTTTTAAAAGGCCGGCAACGCATCTGCAATTCCCCTGGTGTTGCGGTTGTTCATGGGCGGCGGTAGTCACTTACCATCAGGTGAGCCGCATGCTCGTTTGCCCCCTCTCCTATAAAAGAAAAAACCAAAATACAAAAGCATAAAAAAATTAAAGAGCACACCACTGGGGCATTGTTTTGTATATTAATAGAATACTCTAGAAACTGATAAACATTTATTTAAAGCAATATTCTCATTTGAATTACATTGTGTAGCAAAAAAAACATGCGTGAGTGTCGTGGAACACTTAGTTGAAACGAAATTCCTTTCGTAGTATAATATTATTGATAAACGTATTATATCATTGATTAACAAATACAAATAAATGAATTACTAGAGTCTATTAAAATGAAGCGTCATTTAAAATAAAACAATATTTCTATCATGGCAAGATGAGAAAAAGTGCAAGGTTTATTCCATTTCGCTTCCTTAATGCCGCCAAGTGCGACACTACATCAGAAGGGGTCGTGACGGAAAAATCATACACTTTTTCTCGCCTAGCCCCCATCCGCCAAATTCGTACCGTCCGATAAAGAACTTCGTTCCAAAACTTCACCTCAGTCCCAACTAGCGACATCTGGTGAGCGGAAGATTTTTTTATTTAGATTGATTATATAGAAATACACTCTCTCACTTTATACTATTATTATATATTACCACATATTTTAACATTTTCTTAACATAATAACATTATGGTCGGCGTTATTGAGCCCTTTAATTATATCTGAAACAAAAATAAATTATTAATAAATACTATAACAGACAAACATGTATAGGCCTATTTGCTTAGTATAGACAGACACCTACATTTATCCTTGATTAAGGATCAAAATAAAGATTCGTTGTCACCCCTGAGGACTGAGATCGAATGCCTCTATTCGAGTAAAAAGGATTTCCGATTCTCTACATTTACCATACGGAATACAGGAGCGTTAAGCTGCTACTTTTTTACGCTGGTATTCTGTGAGAGCGTGGTTTTTACCCGATGGAGCTGACACATACGTGCTACAACCATAATATAGGTGCAACGTGGCTCTACCACGCTCTCATAGAAAATCTATATAGTATACGACGCAATGCACTACTAAGTTAAAATTACAGTTACAATTACATTGTGCTGGGATTAGTGGTGACGGGGATAGTGCACGCAATTGAGAGAGGGCAGAAGGTGCCCTTCTAAGTAAGGTACACATCAGTAAGTAAGGTAAGACACATCAGGAAGGTAAGACACATTATTTTATTTTATTACACGGACATAAACTAGTTCATTTTTAAGATCTTTACTAAGATTTTGATGTCTACAAATCGACCGTGTAGTGTCGGTGTAAGAATATCCGCTACGCCATATCGTCCGTAAACGTCGTAAGAAGCGATCATCATCATCATTACAGCCCTTAACAAGTCCACTGCTGAACATAGATCTTTTTCTTTTATAGGATAGGGTGGCAAACGAGCACACAGTCCACCTGATGGTAAGTGGTTGCTGTGACCCATAGACATTACATTTACGAGAGGCACACTGAAATGATCGGGAATAGAATATTTCGGATTGAGTTACAATAAAACCTTTTTTAGAATTTGAATACTGGCCTCTTAGAATCTTAATGACATTCAAACAATTAAAAAAAATGTTTTAAAACAAAAACTATGTTGGTTTAAAGTTGACACGTTGTTAACAGAAATGGAGCTCACGCGTTAACATTTCCATGCCATAATTTATCACAACTTTCGTCGCGGCTTATCTCAAGATAAATGTCTCAGCGAACTTGTTTCGATTTATGATGTTGAAGCACCGAGTCAAACGACAATATACGCTGGTATGCCGAGTTCCGACGCGGTCGTGTGTCGCTCAGCACTGTTTCTTCTGCAGGTTGACCAAGAACAGCGGTCACGACTGAAAACATCGCAGCTGTGCGAACTATTATATTAGATGTCCGTCATGTGACATACGAGCAGATTCGGGCTGTTATCAGTATCGGAATGACTGCAATTCAGTCGATATTACATAATGAGCTGTGTGTAAGAAAGCTAGTTTCCCGCTGGGTTCCCCACGATTTGTCCCAAGAGTAAAAGGCGGCTCGTGTAGATTGGTGCTGGAATACTCTGCAACGCTTCAACGGAGGGAAGTCAAATGCAGTTTATAATATCGTCTCAGGTGACGAATCATGAATTTATTCATACGAACCCGAGAGAAAACATCAGTCAGCAGTTTGGGTCTTCGAAGATGCGGAACCAATGAAAGTGGTTCGCTCCCGCAGCGTGTAAAAGAAAATGGTCGCTATGTTTGTCTCGAAAAAGTGGCATGTTGCTACAATTCCTTTACAGGAACGCAGAACGGTTACCGCTGAGTGGCATATTATCACGGTTTGTTTGCCATAAATGATAGCCGAACTCCCAAAAAATAACCCGAAACGTCACATCATCTTACATCACGATAATGCGAGCTCCCATACAGCTCGGAAGACAACTGATGAGCCATCCTCCGTTACAGTCCAGACCTGAGCCCAAACGATTTTTTTACATTCCCTAGAATGAAAGATTTATTACGCGGTCAACGGTTTGAAAACCCTAAAGCAGCTGTGGAAGCGTACAAATCAGCCATTTTGTCAACATCAACTTCAGAAAGGAATTACTGTTTTAATTATTGGTTTGCACGAATGAAAAAGTGCATTAAGTTGAAAGAATTTTTTTTGTTGAACTTCGAAAAACAATAAACTACAATTTAGCTATACCGTGCATGTGGTTTTTCTTATTCCCGGTCATTTCAGTGTGGCCCTCGTATCCCCAATAAATAATCAAAATGTAGATGCGTCGACTAAGATAGAATGCCTCTTTTCCAGTAAATTGGGTCTCAGGTTCTCTACACTCATCATAACACCCACACAGCAGTGTCAAGCTGCCATTTTACGCTGGTATTCTGTGATATCTCATTAATAAGGAATGCCACAAAGCACGATCCAAGACACCTGCATCTATCGACTTCCTGCATGTCTCACCAGGTCGTCTCTACATCTAGTGGGGGTACGAGGCTATCACTCGAGAACCTTTCTTTCCCATCGATTGTCAGTTTTCGAGCTATATGGCCGGCCTATTGCCACTTCAGCTTACTATACTAATCCCTAGGGCTATGTCTGTTACTCTGGTACTATGCAGTATAATGTACTACAAAGTGATTATCATTATTACAATGAAAGGAAGCAAATCCTATCCTTTAACACATTCATTGGGGTTTTCTTTTTGTGTTGCGGCGTATAACACGCGAGTCGTGTCATTTTAAAAATCGTTACAACTCGCTCAAATTTGGTTTTAGGATGTTAATTCGAAAATTGGTGTCGCAACGAATCGGATAAGCGAGCAATTTTTGTACTATATAGTAAATTGTTATAATAGAAAAAAACTAAAGATTTATAATATGAAATAATGTTTTACTTTCCAAGTTTATTTAGATAGGTATATTAGGTAGTTAGGTACTAAAGTACTTTTTATTTTATACAATATAATATAAATTACTTGATTACCCAATCAGCAGTCCTAGTGTAGGAACTTGTTGAAGGCACCATAAGACGTCTCCAGGTCGAACACCAACTGGCGCACTTGACTCTCGGACAGCTCATCCGATGCAGACATCTCCGATAGTTTGTCTAACCATTCTTGTACCTAGAAACGTAAAAGAACTAAACATGAGTTTATATTATTTATTTATTTATTCTTTATTGTACCTTACACAATGTATAAATATATCAAAAGGCGGTCTTAATGCTAAGAGCATTCTCTGAGAGTCAACTTTGGGGCAGCGAAATAACCTCGAGGGCGGTTACAGAAAAAAAAGCATAATAGAAATATAAAAATTACAATACATTACTGAGACTAAACCTACATACATATTGTTACGAGCTTGGGTTTCTAGACAGTTAAAACTGCCGATTGAATTACCAAAATTGACACTTTAATTACAGAACACTAATTACAACTTAGAAACACACTAATAATAAAACACAATTGTACTAATTGTGTACTTTGTCACTTTAGTTCGCAGTTATATCACTTCGAAATATTCGCTTATATCGCCAATTCAATACTGACTCGGTCGTGGTCTATACCGGCCTTATATAGGGCCGCAGATAGTTTCCAGAACCTTCTACTGTAGAAACATCTAGTATGTTCGAGTACATATCGGTCCCGAAATTTCTAGAATCAGATAAAACAGATCTACGCATACATATAACTATATACATATATAAACATATTCATATTAAGGTTGGGGAAAAGTTTCTTTGTATTTTATTTACAAATTCAAGACATTCTTTTTTTCAAAATTTAATTACATCTAATTATAATATATATACAGGGTGTCCCAGTAATGGTGGATAATCTGGTACGTACTCAAGTGCGTTGTTCGATATGTCGCATCGAAATAGACGAATCTTTTCTGCCGATTTCCAAAAAGGAGACGGTACTCAATTCGACTGCCCATGCGATGTCGAGAAAGTCGAGATACGCACTAACCATATTTAACAATAATCAAACACGAATTCATACAATGGAGAATCTGTCGATCCTTTTTACTCACATTAATCCTAAGCACCGTTTGTCTCGCTCACACAGCTTAGAATTCGTCCAAACAAGGCGAGCAGGTAGTAAAGTAAAATTTTCAAGGGCGACAAATGTACTTACCTAATAAAGACATGCAATGTTTAAAAAAAAAGTGTGTGTGTGTGTGTGCCATTTTGTTCGATAACTTGTTGCCATCTTGTATGTAGTGACATAATCCCGTTGCCGAAGAAATCTTGGGATTTTTTATCAAAAAAGTGCGAGTAATTTTGACAGTCCTCTCTTGATGTTAACCTGACACTACCCAAAGAATCCTGAAGAGACCGAAACAGATGAAAATCTGATATTGCAAGGCCTATAGTATGGTGGATGCATTAACACTTCCCAACCAAGCTCTCTCAATTTATGCTGAGTGGCCAAAAATCGTGGCGTTATCACGATTCCAGCCGTTTTTTCACAATTTCTCTTGCTTGAGTGTGATTAATGGTGGGCAGTAGAGATCGGAATCGATGGTTTTGTCCGGCGGTAAAAGCTCATTATAAGCCCTTCCAATCCCACCATACACAGCATCACCTTATTGCGTGTTATCCGGGTTTAGCTACAGTTTCGCACGTTCTTGTCGTAGGTCATCCACTTTTTATCAGCAGTGAACAACCTTTTCAAAAAATTTTTCTAAGTTTCAATACAGAATCGCAAATGAGTACAAGATTTATTAGGTTTCTTTCAGTGAGCTCGTGTGGTACCAAATATCGAGCTTTTTTTATATCAACTCCTCGGCTATGTCATAACTACTAATATGCCGGTCTTGGTCCACTTTTTCCAAAAATGGCATATACTTTATCCGTATGAGAGCGAGCTGCATCTTTGACATCAAATTTCCCGGACTGGAAACGCTTACACCAACTTTGTGCTACTCTTACTGACATTGCATTAGGGCAATAAACGCCACAAACTTTTTTCGCGGTTTAAGTCGCATTTTCCCCCTTTTTTGTAATAAAACTTCAGAATGAATGAATTTCTTCGTTAAATTAACTCATTTTGGCGGACAGAAAAACAATTGAAAAATGGCGGTAAAGTGTTTTTTACTTTTTATTTTTCTTTTTCTTAATGTCCTATATGTATTGATGTTAAAACCAGCCAGATACAAACAGTACAGCCAAAGAGATGTTTCTTCAATTTTATACAAACAAAATACTAAGAAACTTTTTCCCCAACCTATTTATTATATACTACTTTCTCGTCATAAACACCCCATAATAAAGGATTTTGGAAAATTCAACCCCTGAGGGGTGAAATAGTGTGTTACAGTTTGTTCATATATAAATAGATTAAATAAATATATAAAGTATATTACATAAACATACATAAACACTCACGCCTGTCACCCAGAGGGGTAGGCAGAGACTACGGACTTCCATTTGGCGCGATCCTGACACACCTCTCTCGCCTCTTTCACATCCATATATCTACGCATACACGCTCGTCGGTTAAGGGTACTCCTAATCTGGCCCATTTTCAATGTATCGCCGATCTGGTCGATAAACCTTCGTCTAGGGCGTCCCTTCCCGACCCTGCCGTTCACTTCTGCAACATAAATTTGCTTTGTCACTCTTTCCTCGTTCATTCTTTCTACGTGACCAAACCACCGAAGCATTCCTTTCTTAATCCTTGTCACAACGTCATCTTGCAAACCACACTTTTCTCTTATTACACTATTTCTCACCCTGTCATTCAGATTCAGCCCTAGCATACTCCATAAGGAACGCATTTCTACAGCATTTATTCTACTCTCATGCTTCTTCTGCCAGACCCAACTTTCACTACCATACATTAAAGTGGGTACTAACACAGCATTATGAATTGCCATACGTGCCTTAGTTGACACATTCTGACTCCTCACAATAGCGTGTAGAGCCCCATTCACTCTATTTCCTGCGTTCACTCGTCGTTCTATATCCTTATCATATCTACCATCCCTGCTAAATAAACATCCCAAATATACAAACTCATCCACTTGCTCAATCAACTCCCCTTCTATTCTTATTTTACATAAAGTTTTACTTTCTTCTCTTTCAAAAACCATCACTTTCGTCTTACTTGCGTTCACTTTCATACCCCTTTCTTTCAATGAACAATTCATTAAAGTAACCATCATTTGCAACTCGGCCGCCGACGATGCAAATATGACTTGATCATCGGCGTACAAAAGGCATTTGACGGTTGACTCACCCATTCTCAACCCACATTCTTCAACTTTCAAAGTTTGCAAACAACTGTCCATAAATAGGTTAAACAGCCACGGGGAAGCCACACATCCCTGTCTGACACCTTTATGAATGCCAAACCAGTCCGAGTAGACCCCGTTGATCCTGACACAAGCACTAGAGTCCCTATAAAGAGACCTTAATGCCTGTATCAAGCCAGCGCTCAACCCAAATGAGTTCAGTGTTTGCCATAACACGTTCCTGTCCACTCTGTCATAAGCCTTTTCCAAGTCCAAGAACGCACAAAAAACTTTCTGGTTTTTAGCCAAAAACTTCTCCGCTATCATGCGCATGGAAAAGACTTGATCCGTACACCCCATCCCCTTTCTAAATCCAGCTTGCACATCCCAAATTTTTCCATCAGTTTCTTCCATAACTCTTTCAATTAACACCTTAGCATACAGTTTACCCACAATGCTAAGCAAGCTGATACCACGGTAGTTTTTACAGTCCTGCTGCGACCCCTTTCCCTTATATATTGGGACTATAACGGCTTTGCACCAGTCTTCCGGTACCCGTTTCAGTTCCCAACATAAATTAAACAAGGTGTGCAGCAGGCCTGCAACCACACCCTCACCAGCCCTTAGCATTTCGAGTGATACTCTATCATATCCGGCTGCCTTACCTGCTTTCATGCTTTTCATTGCTTTCATTATTTCATCTACACTTATCTCCCTACCTCTCTCCACTTCTTCCGGAATTTCTATTTCACTTATTTCAGACGACTCTTCACTCTTAAACACGCTTTCAAAGTATTCCTTCCATCTCTTTAAATTCGCAACTTCATCATTCAGCATGCAGCCATTCTCGTCTCGTATAGCATTCATTCTAGGCTGTTTTGAAATTCCCCTGGCAGTTCTTACGAGCTTCCAGAACATTTTAATATTTTCCTGGAAGTTATCAGATATCCTTCTATCATTTTTATCTATCCTTTCTTGCTTTTTCCTTTCAACAACTTCTTTTACTCTCTTATTTATACGTCTAAAGTTTGCCTTTTTTCTTTCAATCTCATCATTCATACCGCCAGAATTACCAGCTTTAGTTGCTAGTAAATCTAGCCATGCTCTCTTCTTTGCTTCAACTTCCATCCGTACCTCATCATCCCACCATAACGTATTACTTTTCCTTTCATTCGTTCTCTTACTTACACCGCATACTTCGGTGGCTGCATCCACCAGAACTCTCTTAATATTATTCCATACATTCTTCAATTCTAAAGCATTCATACATAATTCATTCAACCCACTTATATTTTCCCTCAGTCTGCATTTATACTTCTCTTTCACACCTTCATCTTGTAACCTCTCTATTCTTATACGCTGTAACGCAGTGGTAGACACCGATGTCCGATGCCGCCAACGTCTGAATAGACCATTAATTCGGCATAAGACCAAGTAATGATCCGTCCCTACGTTGGACCCCCGGTAAACCCTTGTATCTACCACTGCGCTCCTCATTCTTTCATCCACAATTATAAAATCTATCATGCTTCTATCATCCCCTCTTTCCCATGTATACATGTGAATCCTCTTATGGCGAAAGAAAGTGTTCGCCACAAAAAGATTCTTTTCCACACATACGGTGAGGAGGTCTTCACCATTCTCATTTATTCTTTCATCGCCAAACGTTCCTAATATCCTTTCATAACCAGACCTCTTCACCCCCACCCTTCCATTAAAATCTCCTAACATAATAATATTTTCATTTTCAAGGTAGAGAAAGAGATACGTAAAATAGAGTTAATTTTTTTATGAAGTAGTGTCAGGCGGCAGTATATAATGGCTGCAGCACGAATGGATCTGTTCGATCGGAAAAGGGCCATGATCTCACAGTTTACCAGCATGAAATAGCAATATAATGCCACTGAGTTTCATACAGTGAGTGACAGGAACCAGACACTGTCCTTATTGGTACTCCACAAATTGAAAATGTTTTTTTTTTATAGAATAAGGGTGACAAACGAGCACACAGTCCACCTGATGGTAAGTGGTTGCTGTGGCCCATAGACATCTATATCTATCTTCTTTTGCGGTTTAAAATGCCGATGTGTTGTCAGCCGTGAGGACTAAGGTAGAATGCCTCTTTTTCCAGTAAAAAGTGTCTCCGGTTCTCTACACTCACCATATAAACACAGCAGCTGCTATTTTACACTGGTATTCAATTGTTAATAGCGCCTGCAATGGTAATTGGCAATATAGGTGTACAATGGGGAAGAAAGGTTTTCTAGGAGGAGCCTTTTACTGACAAGTTTAGTGTATGTTGACTCCCAGTCCCACTACATGAAGGGACAACCTGAAGAACCAGAGAGTCCCTTCACTCTCGAATCTTTTAGCCTTATAAGGGAAAAGCTTCTCACCTTAACTTTCCCCTCAAAGTCCTCTGGCAGCATGCTGAGATGGTCCATTGTGTCCTTCAAGTCCCTCAGCTCTGGCTGGATCATGTCCATAGCTCGGAGTTCCAGGCGAAGTTTATCCATCAATGTGATGAACAGCTGTTGTTTTAAACCAGATACAATTAATTATAATGTATTTGAAAAAATGTATTGTTAGTAAAACAAAAAATAAAGTAGAGTAATACAATCCATAAATTGTATTAAGCAAAGTCACTTTTGCCCTCACAGAAATGGGAGCCATGTGCCTCAGTAGTGGAACGTATAATATAGGCTGTAACATTTAAGTTGCTTTTCTGCATCTATCAGAGTAGACATTTATTTTTTAGTTTTACTTAAAGCTATTTGATGAATATAGTACTGCGAGTGTCCTAAAAGAGAACTTAAAGAGATGCCCAGAATACTCTTTTTGCTAACAACAAGACAACAATCTCCAGGACTATTTTGAGTTTTAATTGAGAATAGATATATTTGTTCCAATTTTAACGAAGAACAGCCATCTGTGCAGGACAAAATTACAGTACCCGAGTGTATGCACAAGCACAGGTGCACCCTACACCCTCATTCTCATAGACAGATGGGACTGAAATCCGACCAGAGTTTAGGCACAGGATTGATGACTTTATGTGTTTTTTGGCCCCGGAGGAGTAACAACGCCAACTTCTTGACTCTAAGCTGCTACATAGAATTTTTTGACAGAAAATCCCTTAATTGATTTTGACCCAACCCGGGACGACATGACCACTAGACCAAGGATCTACTTGCCATCAAGTGGTCTGTAAACTCATTTATCAAAATTATTTCAAGTATATCTTGTGATCTCTGACAGACGACAATATAATCAGACATAAACGCTAGAGGACATAAGCACTATCTCAATGACCTCAATAGTGCCTCCCAACAGGTTGGTCTTAAGATGAACATGGACAAAACAAAGATAATGTGTAGCGTCCATGTCACACCTATGCCAGTAGTTGTTGGGAGCACTAAGCTTGAAGTTGTTGACAGGTATGTTTACCTGGGACAAATAGTCCAACTAGGTAAGTCCAACTTCGACCGAGAGGTCAAAAGGAGATTCAACTCGGCTGGGCAGCAGGGAAATTACGACACATCTTCTAGTCTCTCCAGGTCATCACTAGATGAAATAAATAAACGAATTATGAATCATGATGGAGTGACTACTTGGTAAGGCATGCAAGAAGTCGATGGATGCAGATGGCTTAGGACCGTGCTTTGTGGTATTCCTTGGGGGAGGCCTATGTTCAACAGTGGACTTGTGAAGAAGTGTAATGATGATGATGATGAAATATATGCCTCATAAATATCCTCCATATTTGCCATAGTTACTACGTTTTGCAAATGGCTTTGAAGCAGTACTTTTACTTTTGTTTAACTGTTGTCAGGAAGATGCTTCCACACATTTGCTGGTACAGTTTCTCTATTTCACCTCTTACGACATCTACGGGATGATATGGGGTAGTATATTCTTACACTGCCACTACACAGTAAGATTTATGATTTAATGAAATTGCCCATATTATTTGCAAACTGCTGGGCTTTTATTAAAATTTAAAAAAAAACACTACACTTACAGAAACAATCTCTGCTATATACTTGTTGGTGTTTCCTTTGTCATCTTTGATGAGGTTTGGTTTATTTTCTCTTATTCTTTCTAAAGCAGCTGGACAGTCTAACTGCAAGTTAAAAATGGGTTTACTAAACAAATAAAATGTTGAAGTGATGTTAACAGATACTTTTTCTTAATTACAAAAAAGATTTACAAATTTTTTTTGTTTTGATTTGGGATTTATTTCATGGGAAAAATTTAATTTGCTCATGCAAATTCTGTAAATTTGAAAAAATGTGCTTAGTGTTTTCTTGAATTGAAACATTCTAAGATACTGTGCCTCCACTGGCAGAACTGGAATATATATAGTTTCATGTTAATAATATTAATTTTATATAAAAACTTACACGAAACTTCGTAACAAAAGATTCTATTGTGGGGAACTCATCACCCTGAACCTGTTTGAAGGCAACTCGGTACTGAACCAGCAGTCTACTGCAAGCTGCCATGTATTCCTGGGCTCGGACGCAGTCCCGCATGTATGCTTTCTCTAAGTGTTGTAATGTGCTGACCACTGCATATAGCTCCGCCATATTGTCATGCCTAAAAAAATTACACTACTAGTTGGTTTTTGTGGTTCCAATGGTACAAAAGCAATTATTTTTAGGCCGATATACATGCATACTTTACAAAATTCCTCATAATTTAGGGCTTAAATTTAAATAAACAAACTATTTCCCTTTGTTATTTGTTTTTAGAAAATATGCGCAGATTGAAGAAAATGGTATTTTCTACCAACTTCAAAAAGCAGACGATACTCAATTCAACTGTTATTTTTTATGTGTGTTACCTCATAACTTTTTTCTGGGTGAACCGATTTCGATGATTCTTTTTTTATTTGAAAGCTGGTGCTTCTCATGTGATTCCATATAAATTTGATCTAGGTCTGACCAATAGTTTTTGAGTTATTCTTAACAATTTATATTGAAGTTGGTGTTACAAAATTTTTAATTTTAAATTATTACTACTCACTTTTCTCGTTCTCTAGCATTTCTATAAAGTTTAACCTCTTCATAGAGTTCTGGTCTTGTGTCTGCAATCAATTTTCAAACAATAGTTTAGCAAAGAAATTACAAAAAGCAATAACATCATAATCATCATAGCAGCCTATCCAAGTCTACTGCTGAACATAATTCCCGATGATTGATTCATAAGGAGGATATTTGCCATGGTTGCCAAGCTTGAAACTGGATTAGCAACCGCAGTTTATTTATTTTTTGAGCTTTTATCACGAAGATGCTGCTACCTGCCTTTTACAGTTTCCCTCTGTTGCCTCTTATTACAAACGCGGGATGAAATAGGATATTGGATCCTTTTATCTGCTAATACACGAACACAAAAAGCAATGGATCAATGTAAAAAATTTAGCTTTAAGGCTTACCTTGCATTTTTAAACCATACAAGTAATTTATCGGCACTTAAACGCTTTGTTACTTTCTGTATATTTTGATTGTTTTATTTTGGTTTGAGATCTAGAGTCTAAATCTGTCTCGAAGAAAAAATATAAATATATTTATTTTAATTTTAATCCACAAACAACAAACAAACACCTACACCTACTAAAACCCAAAGAGTACCAGGCAAAGAGTATAGTAACTGTCCTCCTATACAGGAAAAGAGAGCCCACTCGCGCGAAATCTGTCAACCGAGGAGTACTAGCGCCGTCTGGTGTCGTTTCGCCACAATATTGTGAGAATGTGTGCGTGCGTATAACACATACACCTCTACATATACACCTCTGTTCATGATCATTCATTACGCTTTACGGCTTTATGTACTAGGATTAATTATCAACAACCAACTGTGAATTAAACATTTGAAACATTTTTAAAAGATAACTGCATAGTAACTAAATGCTTCAAATGTTTAATTTAATAGTCGGTTGTTAATAATTAATCCTAATACATAAAGTGTGCTTCATAATTTGTAAATAGAAATTAAGTATAATATGTTTCAATGTGAATGAAATTAAACACAAATAATTGGTACATTATTCTATATTTTTTGAACTTAATGAAAATAAAGGAGATTGATAAAGATTTAACATAGTTTTGACAATACAACACATAAAACTAATATTTTTATTCTAATGTTTATATCATTAATATATTAATAACACAGTGTCTATACAAAAAGCGTAAATTTTATTATTTTAATAAATGAATGAGTTTATTATAATAAATGAATCATAACAAACTTTAACATTACGAAATGTTAAGCTAATATCATAAGGATAAACTTAAACGGTTATGAATCAATCCAAAGCTGTAACTACGCTTGGCAAGTGGGTTGGCAACTGCAGTTATTAGGAAGATCAGTCCACCTGCTGATGTGTTTCCCTCTGTCACCTCTTACGATAAAACCCACGGAATGATAATATGGAGTTGTGGATATTCTGAGACTGTCACTACACGGTAATCCAATATTTTTTTACAATAAACGATTCGAAACACAGCTTTATTATAACAAAATATTAAACTAATGTCTTTAACAATAAGTTTTCACAAACAAAATATGAAAATAACATTTTTTAACAATAAATTATTCATAAACACAGCTTTGATATATCAAAATATTAAACTGAAAAAATATTAAATGCTTTGGCATATGGTCTGACACAACTGGTTACTTCGCCTACGCGGATTCCAGATGTGGAGGATCATACACCTTCCCTGTTGGACTTTCTGCTAACCTCTCATCCGGACGGATATTAGGTTGGCAGTCCACCACTGTGCAATTTAGAAGAAGTTTTCTCCCTCGCACAACTTCCTTGTGGAATTAATTACCACCAGCGATTTTTCCGGACCGATACGACTTAGGGACCTTCAAGAAAACAGCCTACTCCTTTTTAAAAAGCCGGCAACTAATAATCGAACTAGCGAAAAGATAAAAAGAGGGCTTGGCCTCTTGTTATTCATAACAGCTTTGACAATAGAAAATATGAAATAATATTTGTTTAATTAAATAAGTGATTCATCAGAATACAGCTTCGACAATCGCCTCATAGAAGAGATATTTACCATAGTTGCAACGCTTGGCAAGCAGCTTGCCAACCGCAGCTTTTAAATTTAGTCGTTATTAGGAAGGAACTGCTGTCCATCTTCTGATTTGTTTCCCTCTGTCGCCTCTAATGACACTCACGGGATGATATGGACTGGTGGATATTCTTACTGCGCCACACACAAACTAACATTTTTACAATAAACGATTCATATAACACAGCATTCACAATACAAAGTATGAAACTAATATTTTAACAATAAATGATTCTTAACAGCTTAGACAATACAAATTATGAAATCAATATTTCTATAATAAGTTATTTTTAACAGCTTTCACAATACAAATTAAGAAAATATTTTAATGAGATACAATTCTTAACAGCTATAACAAAACTAGGCATAAAAATAATATTTTATACAATACATGATTCTCAACAGCTCTAACAAAACAAAGCATAAAAATAATATTTTTTAGAGTAAACGATTCAAACAGTTTTGACATTACAAAATATGAAACATATTTTTACAATAAATGATTCTAAACAGCTATAACAAAACCTTCGCTGCAAATGTCATCTTTTTGGTGATCTTCTCAAATGCTACTTGATTACTCATTTATTCTGCATTTGATAGACGAGTCCTAAAATCTTTTATAGTTTTTCTAGACTTCTTTAATTAAAATTTAAGTTTCCTCGCATGCTTTTGTAACAACTTCTAATTCTTAGAGTAGTATCATATTTCGTCGGTTTATCTGAAAATGTTTAATTTATACATTAGTTTTTCCAAATTAGAATTTACAATGTAGACATTTGCAATAAATGTTGTAAAATTATATATTTTACTATAAGATATTCAGATACTAGACTATATTTGCTTCTCAATTAAGCAAATTGTTAGAAAATATTGTTAGCTACTAAAATATAAGGAATTAAATATTTGATAAGTTTGATAGTTTTTTTTTTTTAAGAAAATGTTACCTCCACACTAAGATTTTCTCCTGTATCGTGGGGTCAGTTTACATACATAAAATTCACAAGGACAAACATCCAGACCTGGGATAATTATTTGTAGGCCATACAAATACTTGTTCCATGAGGGATTCGAACTCACGGCCCTTAGCGTTGCGACTTATTGCTAAGCCACTGCGCCACGGAGCCGCCAAAAACCTTATACAAAAAAAAATTTGTACTTATAAAATAAAAAAAAATTAAATTTAATGTATGTACACAAGAACAAACATAGTTTTATGTAAAAATAGTGATGTATATTCTGTAAATACTAGAAACAAGCACAAGTTAGTTATATCCTCGAGTCCAAAGAGCCAGTAATTCCATCATGGGGCAATTAAGCCCCAGAAAATATGCAGGCCTTATCTATCAAAAAGTTTAAAATTTTTATCAATCAAAAATTGTTTAATAAAGATTTATTATGCTACTAAAGTGTACATGATTGATAAATAACCCCTGGCAATGAGGTGATCACTACCATGCTGTTTCTGTTTTCATACCAATTGTATAAAACTTAAAAGAAATATACTTTAAAAATAAGTCCCACGGGGTTTCTTGCTGGTTCCCTCAGGACAAAGGTTTTGTAATCTATGTGTTAAAAATGATTCTATGGTATTCTATTCTTATATACTATAACTTCATTATCATTTGTCTGTGTTGTTGAAGGCTGGTCATGTGGATGCAGACGGGGCAGTAGGTCAGGAAAGGGGGTTTTGAGAAAATGGTAATACACTTAAATAGCTACGTAAAACAGTAGTTAGTACAATACTGTTCACTAAGGTTTTAATTTTTTTAATTATTTCATTGTACAGTAAAGGATGTTATTGCTTTTAAAATAAGCATTTTTATATTTTTGTTAGAACATGATGAGCAGTATGCATTAAATAGTGGAGAAAAGAACAAAAATGTAGTTAACTTACATGTTTTATTTATAAAACTTTATCAGTGAGATCAAAAATCACATATTGGTTCTTATTATTTGCCATAACAATTCTTAAAAATAGAAAACTTCTCTAAAAATATACTTCTTAGCAAAACTTAAAGACTTAATTATAGAGATCAAAAACTATAATGTTTATAATTATAGTGTTATTTGGCACAAAATTATTCTCATTAACTTACAAACAACATGAAAAAGCTTTTTAACATAAAATTGTTTCAAAAGGACTCCTCCAAAAAGCACCTTAATGAAAAACAATACTTAAATATAATTAAGAATCACTGATAAGTCAACTTTCAGAATCAGTGTTACCTGGAAGATTATACCAACTTATTCTGTTTCAAAAACTAGCTTACAATTTTATCACATTCACTGATCGTATCTATTATCATTTAATTACAGTGTTTAATTTTCTGTGCCTTATTCCTTGTTTGCTAAATTTTCAACATTATTATTAACACACAAATTTTCCCAAAAAAGTCTGCAATTAGCAGGCATTAACGGACACAGATTTTCACTGGTAAAAAACTTTACTGGACATATTCTCATTGTGTCAAATTTTATACAGAAGCACAGAAGAACACATTGGGCATAGAAAATTCACTCCACTCTTGCTATGAGATGAGAAAACACCAGCTTCCAAATAAAAAAATAAAAAAGAATCATCAAAATCTGTCCCCGTAAAAAACAGTTCTAAGGTAACTTTCAAAAAGTTACCTTAGAAGTTGGTTGAAAAATGAAATATCTGACATACTGCTCTCTCGGTTACCACGGCAGTATAGGCTGTAATAAATGATATATCTAATAATTGTCTGTCTGATAACCATCAGCAAGCTTACTCTTGAATCCAATAACAATTTCGATCCAATGTCAATTTCAGTTATTAATATTGCTGTTTTTCCAAATAATACAACAACAATAGCATTACTGTAATTTAAAATAAATAAGACATCAAATTTTATCAATGTTTCCATGTTATTTTAAATTGATTTGTTTTCTTTTAATTTCTGTTGTAAAAGAAATTAATTTTTGGTTTATTATAAATATAGTTTTCACTGTTATTTAAAAAAATGAATTAATAAATTTAAGAACAGATACATACTAATGATGATAGATTAATTAAAATATTTCTTTATTAAATAAAAAATGGTTAAACATTGTATCATAGTTTTATTAATAAATCCGTATCCTTATTAAAATTACATTACCTATATCATTTTATTTTTAATACTTATAAAATTATACATTTAATGTAACTTAACATTATATTCATACTTCCTAGATGAGAAATCTGCAAATAAACCCCTCGGAAATGAGAATAGACCATTGCCCAGCAGTGGGACATATAAAGGCTGTAAATTAATTTTTTTTAGGCTAACATTGATTACTGTGAACATTGCGGTGTTCCCGAGGACTTAATGCATGTCTTGATGGAGTGTGCCCGCAATGCTGCCTTTCGGATAGCTAAGTGTAAAAATAATTTAAAGGAATTTGCTGATTGTAACATTATTTTATCCAATCCTCATTCCGATGAAACAAAATTATTGGCTAAATTATATAACATAATATTTTCCTCAGATCAGTCAATTAGATAGTACTTGTTTTCATTTTTGTTTGCTTGTTAAA